GGTCTCTGCCCGCGCCAGCCATGCAGCTCTGCAGGGAGCCTCGCGCTGCGGCTTCACCTGCGGGGGCTGCATGGAGCCCCCTCCTTCTGGGCGAGCTCCATGACACCCAGGCAAAGCAAAGAAGGTGATCGGAGGAGCTGGGGGGAGGGAGAGGCAGAAGCAAAACAGGGGATGCTTTTGGGAAAAATAAATAGTAAATGCAGTACCAGAAACCATCCGAGTCTGTCAAAGGCAGGGTGGAAGTCAGCGCTGTTCTCCATGGGTGCCTGGATCCCCTGATTTGCATCTGTTCGTCGCACAGCTGGCACCCCGCTATAAGGCAGATCTCCTGGGAGCAGAGGGTTTGTCTGACAGGGCAAAGCCCGGGCCACGAGCGAGGTGTCTTCTCCCTGGGGAGCAGGCAGTGGAGAGCCTTATAGCAAGGGTGCATTGCCTATATCTCATTTTAAGTAGAGCCCCATGCTGAATCTGTTTCAGGAGGACGAGGCCGGCGAAGGCAGGTTCAACTTCACGGCCTACGGCATGGGGCCGGCCTGCCTCCAAGCCAAGGACGGCATCTCCGTGAAGGGCGCCAACAACAACAACACGGCCAACCCCGTGGCGCCGCCATCGCGCTCCCCGGAGGAGATGCGGAAGCTCTTCATCCAGCGCGCCAAGAAGATCGACAAGATCTCGCGCATCGGCTTCCCCATGGCCTTCCTCATCTTCAACATTTTCTACTGGATCATCTACAAGATCGTGCGCAGAGAGGACGTCCACAACCAGTGAGGGAAGGAGAGCGCGCGGGAGGGAGAGAGCAATCCTTTATATATGTGCAATAGCAATGCAGCAATGCATGAATTTAAGAATGTGGCAATATCTACTAAAAAAGGGGGGGATGGGAGGGACTTTTAATCATATGAACTGAGGAGAACTGGAACAGGGAGGAGAAAAGCAGCTCTTGATCCGGGGGATTGCAGGGTAGGGGTTAGTTTTACAGCATAGGAAGGTTTGGATTGCTCCAGCTGCAATCCAAGCAGTGTAATATATTAATATATATTCATGCTTAATTATAATGCAAAGAGAAAACACACAAAAAAACAACAAAAAAAACTTTTTTAGCCTATTAACAGCTTAGATTCTAAAGTCACTGGAATGATTCATAATTCCATGTGCAGAAGCAACTGCAATTATGCTTTATCTGACTTTTGCTATAGAAAGGCCATACCAGTCAAGCACGTAGGGGGAAAAAAACCCTAACAAAAGAAAAAAATGCAAGAAAAATCATTCTATGTTTCTCTAGATTTTGCACTTTAAAAACTGGATAGATGGGGAACCTTAAGAAAGAGGCTGTAGGTGGTTGTTCATTTTAAATATTTACTTTTTTTTAGTCTCAGTTCTGCTGATCAAACACTTTGTAACTTTCGGATAGAGGAACACAGATGTGTTCTCTCTCTCACCCCCATCAGGGAGCATCCAGTGGGAAACCCGAGAAGGACATCAGGGCCTCGATCCGAAATCGCAGGTACCTTCTGTCCTGGTAAATGACCCTGTGTAGGGTCAGAGTCCCAGGAGCCAGAACTACTATTCAGACCACTAGAAACGATGAAGGATTTTTAAGACAGCCTTCTTTTTCCAACCTCTTCTGCCATGTTTGTTTACAATGCGGGGACGGGAGTACAGGATGGGTTTAGTTAAAGAATAAGCTATATTTAAAATACAGAGAGTCGAGGCGCACGGGTGCGTCGCGGCGACGGGAGCGCGCGAGCGGCAGTGACCGCAGCCGCGGCGGGGGGAAGGCGGCCCGTGTACAGAGAGAGCGGCTGTTATTTTCAGACATTTCATAGCAGTTATATTAGTAGCAAAGCTGGGCCGGAGGACCCAAAACTCTATTTTTGTAACTCTTTTGGTGCTGCATTTAGCTTTAACGTGCGTGGGGGGCGGCACGGGGAAGGCTGGCGCCGCTTCCCAAGGGCGGGAGGGTGGGAGGGACGGAGACGGGATGGAGCAGCGGCGGCCCCGGCGTCTCCGCGGGCTCAGGATGGGCCCGGACGGGGCAAGGGCTCCGCGTGGGGCCTGGTTTGGGAGCTGGGCTGCAGCACCTGCGTTTTCAGCCTTGTTTGTTTGCACTTTAGCGAGTGGGGTGGAAGCAAGGGGAAAGGAAGAGAGAAGCGGTCTGCAGAGAAGCACTTGGGAGCAGGTCGGCAACAGGCACTAAGTGACACTGGATGAAGGCAGGGAGAGGAGTAGCACCTGCTGATGCTTCCATTCTTTCCTACACTCACCCCCGTGCTGTGCTCGGGACCAGGCAGCCGCTGAGCCAAGAGGCAGATCTGATGCTTTTCCGAGGAGCAGCCAAGCCGAGAAGCTGATCTGATGTTTTTCTGAGGAGTAGCCAAGAGGCCGATCTGATGCTTTTCCGAGGAGTAACCGAGCTGAGAGGCAGATCTGATGCTTTTCCGAGAAGTAGCCAGACTCCTGATTTCAGGAGCTGCAGCCCCTGTTGCAGCTGGAGGCGGCTCGGAGCCAAGTCTCACACCGTAGATGAGCAGGAGGATGGAGCCGGTCCCACCACAAGACTCAGGTCAGGCTCTGATCAGCTGCATTGAAACCTGTGGCAGGAGCTGGGAATTGACCCAGCCCAGCAAGGGGCAGCTACTGAAGAGGGAGGTGGAGGGCAGACACTTGCAAACTGCCCCGACACGGCGCCCGTGCCAACAGCAGGGAGAGAAGGAGGCCTGGGGACAGCCCCTTGCCTCCCACCAGGGCTCCTCAGGTTGGGCAAAGGGACACCCATGGCCAGGGCTGCCAGGTCAGCACCTTGCACCAGCACTAAATACGCTCTATTAAAAAAAAAAAAAATCAAAATATAAGAGCAAAGGAAAAAGAACTAGGGAAAAAAAGAAAGGTGCTATTCACTGCATGGACTAGGGCAAACGACAGTATTTCCTCATGCTTTGGCAAAAGCTCGCTAGCTTTGGCTCCCTTGGCCATGCTGAGACAGGGAAAGGGCACGAGACGTCAGTGTGAACCAGTATTTTCCCCCTTTCCCTCCTCCTTCCATCGGGGCAGCAGCGAAGCCGGGGGTCGAGGCTCTCTCCTTCCCTGCCCCGGCAGACGGCGCCTTCCCGAGGAGGCAGCAAACGGAGCAGAGCTCCGCGCGGCGCCGCAGGGAGAGTTTGCCCAGCAGGGCTTTGACTCCATCCTGCCCTCTGACCGGAGCTGCTCTAAGGAGTCAGCAGTAAATAGGTAACAAACCCCATGCCCTGTGCTCCCATCATGACCCTACAGCAAAGCAGCCCAAGGGCAAGACCAGAGCAAGGAAGAACATCATCCTGCCTCATTTCTTTCTACTCTTGGAAAAGGGCCTTTAGACCAAAGGAGAATCCCATGCTAGCCCCAGATCTACTACGTGATGTAGATGCAATGATAGTTACCACTTCACAGAAGTTTTAGTGTCACTTCTTGATAGTGGAGAAGGGCAAAGAAAGGCAAATTAGGGAATATAAGTCATCAGAAAGATCCTTGCATTTCTTGCTTGTGTTTAAGCACTTGAGCCCACGGGAGTTTATGGACTGAAATAAAAACCATGTGCTCACCAACCTCAGAGTCCAGCTCTGCCTTTGCATCCAGTCCAACTCTGCCGGCCACTGCATGGATTTGTTCCTCACCATAAGCAGCCTCATTTCTTCTCCTTCAGGCACCCAGTTTGTGTTGGGCCCTTCTTTGAGCCCAGAGGCCGCTGCAGTGATCAGCGTTCACATCCTAGCAGGACACGGCCTGGGGCTTGGCAAAGCCCACACAGTGCTGAGAGCCCTGCCAGGCAGCTCCACCACATACACAAGGCTTCAGACTTGTGGAAAAGGATTATAAGCATCTACGACATATATATATATTTTTAAGGAGAGATATGCTTGAGGGAGGAAAGGCTATTTTAAATGGTATCATTTTTCACAGATTTTATACAATCATATTTTTGTACTGTAATACCATTCCTGAATAAAACATAGTTCTGAGCCCTGTGCCAAATGAAGAAAAGCTAATGTCTTTCGATGCCCCATTCCTACTCCAAAACGCTGCTGGAGGCAGCGGGGAGCGACCCCCTCTCCCCAGAGCACATCCCGAGCAGGGAGAGGAGGATTCGAGCCCTCCTGGGCTAGGAAGCACCGAGAACAGTTCTGTCCTCCAGGGAAAGGCTCTGCTGCCTCTCTGCTGATTTCCATCATTTTTATGGGGACGGTATTTAAGGTACTTAATTGTTCTTCTGTGCTGGATGAGCACCAAAATAGAAATGAACTTTCATTAATTTCATCATTGTCAAACTTTCTTCAGGCTCTTTAAGTCTTCTCGGCCCTTCTCTCTCTCTTATTTCCTAATGGCAGTTGCACACCCCTCTTGCAGAAATGAATCTGTGTTGTGAGTCTGTTACCTTGCTTAAGGATATTACATTTTTCTGTGCTCATCTCCCTTCTTCCTCCCTCTGGACTCTCATTTCTATGGGGAAAAAGTTCTCATTCTGCATGAAAGCAAAGCAGCGTAGACGTTAGAGACAACACAGACGTTTTTGGCCATTATCAGCGCACGGCCCCAGTTTAGGGACCAGCTCATGTTGCTGAACACGAGGCTCCTCCGCCACGGCGGGGAGCAGAGGGAGGCAGCCAAGAAGCGGGCAGTGCACGGGACATCCTGGAGCTCCTCCAAGCTGGGGAGACACTGGTGCTCCCACGGCAAGGGGGTAGTCTGAGAAGCGCAGGGAAGAGCAGCCCTGGGGTTACGGAGCTGGGAGATCCCACGCCGAGGAAGCACCTATGCTGTGGAGCGCAGAGTGGGCTCGGAGCTGGCTTGGGAAGGCAAAGCCGGGGTGTCACCACCTCGGAGCGCGTTTCCAGGAGGCCTCCTGCCTTGCAGCACCTGCCCTTTCCTGCTTCAGCCCTGCCTTCACTGGCCCTATCCCAGTGTTGTGCCCTGGGCCCTCTAATGCAAACCAGAGCTCCAGAGACCTCAGCACAGGCTGAGCAGAAGGCATGACAGAGGATTTCTGCATCTAGTAGAGGAAATGCTTCCTCCCTCGCCAGGATAGGACCCTGGCAAAGAGAACACCCAGAGATGCGTTTGCAGAGCTCATCGTGCCACCTTCTCTGAGCACTCAGGGCACTCGGAGCCAGGCGCCAGCCGGCACAGCCGAGGGGTCAGGGCTGTCTGCAGGGACAAGCAGCCGTCTTCAAATCACACTGGCCACCAAGCAGCCCGGGGTCACTTGTCCTCACCCAGCTCTAGCACTGGGCTCCCATGTAGAAACAGCCCTGGTTCTGTTCGTCTTATTCCTGCCCACCAGGGTATCGCCCCGGATCGGGAAAGGGTCAGGGAAGCCGCTCGTGGGACAGGGCCAGCTCCCAACGGTGCTGGAGCCCAGGGAGGCCAGGGCTGGAGCCAGAACAAGTGCATGGAAAGTGCCCGCGCTGGCACCAGCCTCAGCAGAAGGGGCCGGTGCCGCTGTCGGGGACAGGCCGGGTGACGGTGCTGGCACACGGAGCTCTGCGGCGGGGCTGCCACCGCACCTACCACCAGGAAGAAGCCAGTCACGAAAAGCACAACGAGCACAGAGACCTCCACAGCCTCTCCCTCGTGGAAGCGCTCAGAGGACAGAGAGGATGCAAATAATAATAATAATCTTATCACCAGTTACCAACCTGAGGCTGGAATACAGTGCTAGCTCCAGGGTGGAAAGCATTTCTTACAGGACAGGGGATGACACCACCATGGAAAAGCTCAGCAGGGCAGGGACGGTG